ATGATTCTGTCTTCCTCTTGTGTAGTCAGAGGATGGCGGAAGATGTTGCCTCCCTGCTCCTTTAGCAACAGTCAACACCCATGGAAGCAGCAGTCAAGAAATCAGACAATGTAATGCACAGGGAAAATCTCTTGCAAAAGACCTCTTTAAAGTGTTAAAGAGCAAAGATGTCACTTTGAAGACTAAGGTGCGCCTGACCAAGCCATGGTATTTTCAATAGCCTCATTTGCCTGTGATAGCTGGACAACGAATAAGAAGACTGAAGAACTGAGGTATTTGAATTGTGGTGTTGGTGAAGAATACAGAAAATACTACAAACTGCTAAAAGAACTAACAAATCTGTCTTGGAACAAGTATATAATGTTCCACTCCCTGGAAAAGGATATGATATTGGGTAAAGTAGAAGGTCAGGGAAAGACTGAAAAAAAAAAAATGAGTTGACACAGTGGCTGCGATGATGGACTCAAGCAGAGCAAAGACTTTAAGGACAACGCAGGGCCAGGCACTGTTCCATTCAGTCGTACACAGGGCTACTGTGAGCTGAAGCCAACAGCACCTAACAACAACAACAAACTTAAGAACAGAATTACACTCATGAGCATGATTCAAGGAAAAAGTAGAAAACTGCTCTACTTTACCATCCTGCCCTTTTTGGCCCTAAAGTCTTCTGTGCCATCACATTTAATTCTAGAATAAGGAAAAAAAAAAAATAGACTATCATTCATGCTGATGCAAATATATGTGAAAGGGTAAAAGGCAATTCAAATGAAGAACGTCCAAGTAGCTGAACTTCTTTATAAGGACGAACCCTCATCTCTTCTGTCATCCAATTCCACCTCTATTTTAACAGCATCTTGCATGAGAGCATTTTGTAATGCTGTTCCACTGCTCAAGGACCAAGAGTGATACAATAATGTCTATGGTATCTACTTGTCTCCAATTCTTTTGTTGTTGTTGTTGTTAGGTGCCATTGAGTCAGCTCTGACTCACAGAGACCCTATGTAAAACAGAATGAAACACTGCCTAGTCCTGCACCAACCTCATAATCCTTGCTATACCTGAGCCCATCACTGAAGCCACTGTGTCAACACATCCCATTGAGGGCCTTCTCCTTTTTTGGTGACCCTCCACTTTACCAAGCATGACATCCTTTTCCAGGAAATGGTCCCCTCTGACTACATGGCCAAAGTAGGTGAGATGAAGTCTGGTCATTCTCGCTTCCAAGAAACAGTCCAGTTGCACTTCTAGGACAGATTAGTTCTTCCGGCTGTCCATAGTACTTTCAGTATTTTTTGCCAAGATCACAACTCAAAAGCATCAACCCTTCCTGCTCTTCCTTATTGCTTGTCCAGCTTTCACATGCATGTGAGACAACTGAAAATATCATGGCTTGGGTCAGGCACACCTTAGTCTTCAAAGAGACATCTTTGCTCTTCAGCACTTTAAAGAGATCTTTTACAGGAGATTTGCCCAGTGCAGTACGTCACCTGATTTCTTGACTGCTGTTTCCATTGGTATTGATGGTGGATTCAAACAATATGAAATCTTTGACAACTTCAATCTTTTCTCCTTTTATTGTAATGCTACTTACTGGTCCAGTTGTGAAGATTTTCATTTTCTTTATGTTGAGGTATAATCCACCATACTGCAGACTGTAGTCTTCAATCTTCACCAGTAAGTGCTTCAAGTCATCTTCACTTTCAGCAAGCAAGGCTGTGTCATCTGTACAGCACAGGTTGTTCATGAGTCTTCCTCCAAACCTGATGCTGTGTTCTTCTTCATATAGTTCAGCTTCTCAGATTATTTGCTCAGTATACATATTGAATAAGTATGGTGAAATGATACAGCCTTGATGCACTCTCTTCCTGATTCTGAACCATGCAGTATCCCTTTGTCAGTTTGTCATACCATGGTGGTTTGCGTGTTGCTGTGAGGCTGGAGGCTATAACACCAATATTTCAAATACCAGCATACTCACCCATGGTAGACAAGTTTCAGCTTCCAAACTAAGACAGACTCAGAAGAAGGAAGGAGCCATGCACTTAAAGAACTGGCCAGTGAAAACCTTATGGCTTCAATTTTAGGTCTCCATTAATCTGATCAACTTTCAACTTCATGACTTCTTTAGTCAAAAGACATAGTTTTTAAAGCACCAAAAGCAGGCAGAAATGGTATCTCTCACTATTTTCTGAGAGGTCAGAAAAGTGGGCAATTAATATACATGGAGAATACCATTAAAGGATTGAAGGTCAGATATGAATATACCAGTATTCCTGTCCTTAGGAAGCTACAATAGATTAGCAGGGAGTCATAATACAAATAGCTCAAAAAAGAATATAAATTCCTACAAAGGCAACATACAGTGAAAAGTGTCCCAGAAAAACAAGCTCTACAATGGGCTCTAATACCAGACAACTTTACCACCCAAGACATGTTACTTAATTTACCTCTCTAAGCCTATAAAATACTAGGAGCTCTGGTAGCATAGTGCCAAAAGCACTTGACTGCTAACCAGAAGGCTGAGGGTTCAAATCACCAGCCACTCCTCAGAAGGAATGTTAGGCAATCTACTTCTGTAGTGATACTGCCTCGGAAACCCAAGGAGGGATCGCTATGAGTCGAGGCAACTCAACGGCACATAACAACAAGAAGCCTATAAAATGAGAGTCTTAGGACACATTATATCTAAGGTATTTTCCAGCAAGGATATCCTAAAGTTCTGTGGAATTAAAATTAATGTAATAAATTCTGAGGTCATAAGTAACTAACTTCTTTGAATTTTTCTTGATTCCCCATGTCAGGCTGAATGACTCTTTTAAGAATCTTTAATTTCCCCTAGTATCTATCCTCCATTCCTTCTATAAACCAGTATAACTCCTCCCCTAAATTTTCACTGTGGGTACACAGGCAACAGCTAGATATTAAATATCTCAGTCTCCACTACAGATACAGGTGTGAGCATGTGACCAAGTTTTAGTCAACAAAAAGTTAATGAAAAAAAAAAAAAAAAGAAGAAGCTACTTGCCCTCCATTTCTCTTTACTTGGCCAGGCTAAAGAACAGTTGTGAAGTTAATATGCCTGCTTCAATCAGTCAGATGAAAGCAAAACTCCAGGGCAGGGGTTGACAAATTATGGCCTGCGAGCCAAATCCGGCCTACCACTCACATTTTGTAAAAAAAGGTTCTGTTGGAAAGCATTCAGGCTCTTTCATTTACATATCGTCTATGACTCCTTTAGTGCTGTAACAATTCACAAAGCCTAAGGTATTTAAACTGTCCTTTACAGAAAAAATGTGTAAGGCCCTGTCCTAAGACATGATGGAACAACAAAATGAAAGCAACTAGCTTTCCTAGATGGACCAACTAGCAGATGTATCTATCCACTCTGCACTAATGAACTTCTGACCCATTATATAAGAAGGAAGGAGCTCTGGTGGCATAATACCTAAGGCACCTGACTGCTAACCAGAAACCTGGTGGTTCAAACCCAGCCACTCCTCGGAAGGAAGACAGGGCAATCTACTTCCATAGTGATACTGCCTGGGAAACCCAAGGAGGAGTCACTATGAGTGGGGGCTGACTTGATGGCAAATAACAACAACAACACACAAGGGGGGAAAATGTATTGTTTGTTGTTGCTAGGGGCTGTCAAGTCAGCTCCAATTCACAGTGACCCTATATACAACTAAACAAAACATTAGTCAGTGCTGTGCCACCTTCACAATTACTATTGTTATGCTTGAGCCCATTGTTGCAGTCACTGCGTCAATCTATCTCATCAAGGGCCTTGCTGATTGAGTCACTGTATTTTGGTGTCTCTTTGTCATGCTGCTTAATATGTATTCTAACAAATGTAACTTCTCTCTATGTGTCCAAAAGAACTTTTACATATATTACGCCACTTACTAAACAGCTCTGGTGACATTGTGCCTAAGGCACTTGACTGCTAATTAGAAGGTTGGCAGTTCAACTCCACCAGCCGCTCTGTGGAAGGAAGGCTGGGCAATCTACTTTCGTAAAGATTTACCACCTCAGAAACCCAAAGGGGTCACTATGAGTCGGAATCAACTCAATGGCAGTGAGTTTGGTTTGGTTTTGGTATGCCACTGACTACACAGTATCGAAAATATTTCAAATTTCTATTTCAGTGTAATGTCAAACATCTCATTACAGTATGAATTATTGGAAGGTAGGAGGTATCCTGTTACCTTTATTGTCCCAGAACCTAATATATAGTAGCTACTCTTTAAATGTGTTATACTGATGACAAAGGAGCAAAATAGAAAGTGATGTATTGCTAAAGCCAAAATTACTTCAACTATCATTGAAATAAAGCTGATTATACTGACAAGAGAAACTCTCAACAATTTAGTCAACAAATACCTATTTAGCCCCTAAAATAGGTAGCATTTTTCTAGGTAGGCACTAAGAACACAGAAACAGACAAAATATCAAATTATATGTCTTTATACAGCTTACATTCTAGTGGGGAGACACTGAAATAAGCAGGAAAAAAAGCAAATACATTTTCTTTATTAATCAGTAGCAGTAAGTACCAAAAAGAAAAAAGTTCTTTCTGATAAAATTACATTTGAACAAAGACCTAAAAAAAAGTGAACAAGTAAACCACACAAATATCTGAGTACAAAGTCTCTAGGTAGCAAAAGCAATGGGAGTGCAAAGGCCCTGAGGGAGGGCCTTGCTTGGCTAGAGAAAGGGCAAGGAGACCAGTGTGACTTGAGCAGAGTAAGAGTGAATGTGCCAAGAAATGAGATAGGAGACAGAGCAGAAGGCTCAGGGTGGGCCTTCTAGGCCATAAGAAAAATTGTAGATTTTTCTCTGAGTGAGATGTGAAGACCAGAAAGTTTTGAGCCGAAATGTGACATGAACCATTCTGACTGTTATGAGGGAAACAGTGTACGGGGCATAGGTTAAAAGCCTTTTCAAGAAACTTGTAGAGAGAAAAAATTACTTCAAAATATGACTATGGGCATACTCACTCTTTAGATTCCTGAGTTCTTTTAGTAACACACTGTACAACTGTGTCATAGCCAGGTTCTTCCCTTTGATTCTGATCAGATATGCATTTTTCCATTTCCTCTTCAATCATAGACCCCAAAGTGTTGCATATGTATTGTCTAAGGTATTTCACAAATTCATAGCTGAAACAAATATTTAAAAATAAATGATGTCAATATCATAAGCGCACTTATTATTCATATCCACAAAAATACGTTAGCATAGAAAAAAGTGTTAATGTTAACATAACATAAAATGTTACCACTGAAAAGAAATCATCAAGCTAATCTGAGTATTTGTTTTGTTTTGTTTTCATCTAGAACATTTTGAAAAGATCACCCTTTAAAGAAGACCTCACTGGGGTAGGGGTAGAGGGAGTAGGTTCAGAAACAATCAATTTTTAGTGTGTTGAAGTCTTTTCACATTCCTTTTACATACGTGTCCCTATCTTTAATGTGTGATACTCAAGAATGGGGAAAGTAGTTGGTAACGATTTTCATAATTATTCAAGCTGGTAAGAAAGATCAGACTAGAATAATAGTAATTATGTAAGAATAAATAGGAAAATGTTAAAACTCTGATCATCAGAACAGAAGCAATTTTGTGTACATGAAAGTGATCATTATGATTTGAATTCTACATAATGAGCTTTGGCATGACTAATTTTAAAGAAAGAAATGTCTCAGGCAGTTATATACACTGGACATTTTTCTTCACATTGTTAGGTCGATATTATTAATTTGCAAGCCAAGACAATATAGCAAATACGAGAAGGCAAAAGTTCTGGAAAGTGGATAATTAATAGCTAATTTTTTTGTAAAACATTTACTTAAAAATCATTACGTATAATTTACATCATAAGTTTGAAAGGTTAAAATTTTTGTGGTCTCCCTAATGACTAAAATGAATTAGGATGGGTTACTATTTTAACTGTCACTATACTCAAGAATTCAAATATGTCACTGTATAAGAACCTAACATGAATACAGTACAGGAGATCAAGGAGGCCCTGAATCACTTACTTTCCATAATTATGGGTCCATCATGATCCCCACTATATAGTCTTTAACCCAATATTTACTGAAAGTCCTCCAAGGAAAAACCACCAAAGACAGAGAGCCAAAGGATTTCTTCTTCAATTTTAACTACTTTTGACTGGGATTTCCTTCTCTGGCTGATTCTCCTGACCTCTAAATACATCACTACTTTCTGGAATCACCATGGCTGCCTCAGTAGTATACTGGCAGACCTACCACAGAAAGTGCAGGCCTCAAAAGTAACAAAATGATAACCATAATATACATAAAACATTGACAATTTAACAACAAAAATATAAATAACCCAATCACAAAATGTCAAAGCATCTTAATAGACATTCCACCAGTGAGGGTATTCATACGGCCACCAAACACATGAAAAGATGGTCAGCATCATTAGCCATCAGAGAGGTGCAAAGCAAAACCACAACAAAATACCATTACACTCCCAGTAGGATGGCTAAGATAGAAAACAAATAATAATAATAACAACTAATATTGGCAAAGAAATGGAGAGATTGGAACCTTACCCACTGATGGTGGGAATGTAAAATGTATAGCTGCTCTGGAAAACAATGTGGCAGTTCCTCAAAAAACTAAAACTACAACTGTCACATGACTCAGCAATTCCACTCCTAGGTATATATCCCAAACACTTGAAAGCAGAGAGTCAAAGAGAACTGTACACCAATATTCCCCACAGCACTATTCACAGTAGCCAAAAGGTGGAAACATAAATCAATGGATGAATGGATAAACAAAATGTGGTAGATACATAAAATGGAACATTACTCAACCAGTAGGAGACATGAAGTCCTGATACATGCTACAGTATGGACAGAGCTTGAAGACATTATGCTGAGTGAAATATGTCAATCACAAAAGAAGAAATAATGTACGACCTCAATTACACAAAAGGCAAGTAAGGCAACGTATAGAGACTAAAGTTTATTGGTGTTTACCAAGGGCAGGAGAGGGAAAAGAGGGGTTAATTGTAATGAAAAATCATATTGATTAAGGATAGGGATGCACAACTGATTATTATAATTGCTGCCAATAGGTTGTACACCTGTGAAAAGTTGGAATGGCAAAAGTTGTTTGATATATTTTTTACAAGGACCAAAAAAAAAAAGGAGTAGCTGCTGAGGCTGCTTATGTACAACCAAACACCTCATGTGGGATTTGGTTTTTTGGTGTGGATGTTTATGGTCATGATTTCATGGGGCATTCCAATTAATTGGTCTAATAACGTGCAAGATTAGTGCTTATGTTCTACTTCCTAGTTTGTTCCATAGGGCCTGGGATCTGAAAAGTTTGCAAGTAGCCATTCAAAGCACAATTAGTCTCCATTTACTGGGAACAACAAAGGAAGAAGGAGAATCAGAAAAAAAAGAGGAAGATGTGGAATGTGTGGCTAATAGCATCCTTTGCTGTGAGACCAAAAGAACTACACAGTGCCCAGCCACCATTAGAGAACAACTTGATCCAAGATTTCATTAAAGAATCCTGATCAAAAGGGGGAAAATACAGATCAGAATTTCAAATGGCGTATGGACTCTAGACTTTCTGGAGCCATGGACAGTAGATGAACCCCTGAAACTACTGCCCTGAGATCTTTAAACTGTAAACCAAAAATTTTAAACCAAACAGTAGCTTAGTTTAACTAGTAATGAGCTTAACTAATTAAAAAAAAAAAAAAAAAAAAGGTCTACCTTTAACATTATGCTCTTTTAAAAATTATCTATCCAGGATCAAATTGATAAAAGCAACTGGAAAGAGTAGATACGAACCTTATAGGGCAATGAATTTATGTTAATGGAGGAGGAACAACTCAGGAAAGGAAGGTGAGACTAGTTACACAACTAGAAGAGAGTAATCAATGCAGAAATTGTTCCATTAGTATGTGTTCTGCTGTATATATTCTCATACAAACAACAAAATAAAGTTAAAGAAAAAAATAAAAAATGTCAGGGATACCAGACATGAAGCCATGTATTATTACAGACTCACAGTCCAAAAGGCTGCATCCCAGCTCCAGCTCTACCATTACTAGCTGTGTGACTTTGGACAAGTCTCAGTTTTCTAATTTATAACTTGGTGATGCTCACATCTACTTTACCCTATAACATGGAAAAATTATAGACAAGAAAGTCAAATTATATAACTCTAAACGGCCAGGAAAGAGTTTGGTAAATGTATTCTCCACCCTCATCACTTCAATTTCAGACTCAATACAAACAGGCTATTCCTTTAGCTTGGATTTAGTCCAAACTTTTCTCCAGAACCCATATATTAACTAACCACTAGACTAGGTCACTCTATGTTCCTCTACCATATCAAAGTCAACATAACCAAAAACAAATCTATCCCATCCACTCACAAAATCAATCTACCCATTTACTCACAAACCATCTCCTCATGTTTCTGTTAATGGCACCATCACTCAACCAGACTTACAGTTGCAAACAGCTTTAACAAACAGTCTTCTCAATTAAATCTCCTATCTAGTTAGTTAGCAGGTGCTATAATTCTATAAGGGAGCTCTGGTGGCATAGTGGCTAAGGCACTTGACTGCTCACCAGATGGCTGGCGGTTCAAACCCATCAGCCACTCCTCGGAAGGAAGGTTGGGCAATCCTACTTCCGTAGTGATACTGCCTCGGAAACCCAAGCAGGGGTCGCTATGAGTCAGGTCTGACTCGACGGCACTTAACAACAACAACAATAATTCTATAAATTAATTCTGCTTTTCAACTTTCCCACTGCCACCATATTAATGCTCCCATCCTCTAACAGCTAAACACTTGCAAGAACTTCTTTCAGTCCTGTAAGTCAGTGATTCTCAAACTACAGCCTGGATCAGAATCACCTGAAGGGATTATTAAAACACAGATTGCTGGACTTTATTCTATGTGTTTCTAATTCACTAGGTATAAATTCTATTTCTAACCAAACTACAGGTGATAATAATGTTGATGCTGATACTCCTGGGTCCCAGGATTGTACTTTGAAAATCACTACTCTACAAGCATTCTGCATTCAGGTTGCTTATAAAATATTTAAGATTTTTGGATCAAAATATTTCTATTTTGAAAAGTAGTCATGACCAAAAATATTTGTGAATTAATGTATATGTAGTTGCTTTATATTAAAAGTATTTAAAATATGTACATCTAATTTTTCTGATCTTCTAAATTAACTGACTTTTTTGATTAGCAGACCAAGTATCAATCTCAATTACTTTGAAGAAGCAGATCCCTAAGTAGTTTTAGGAGTCACATAGAACTAGTTTTTAATCCAGTTTGCCGACTTACTTGCTGCCCAAATTACCTATCTTGTCTGCACTTTAGTTTTTTCCATCTAAAGATGGAAAAGAATAGGGGAATAGGGAAGCCTGTACCTTGGAAAACATTAAAAGGAATCTAGATACATACCATATGCAAACACAGGGCTCAGCATCAATTTAACAATAAATGAGTGCTAGCTTTTATAACTATGGCTATTATTAACTTTAAGCCTTATTTTGTTGTTGGCATTTAGCCCTCTGAGGCTCCAATTTCCACCACTCATCCAGTTTGTTGTACTGTGGTGCTGTGTGTATTACTCTGATGCTGGAAGCTATGTCACCAACATTTCAAATAGTAACAAGGTCACCCATAGTGGGCAGGTTTCAGCAGACTTCACAGATTAAGGCAGATTAGGAATAAGGCCAGGTTCACTTCTGAAAAAACTGACCAGTGAAAACTTTATGAATAAGAGGGAAACATTGTCTCATATAAATACTTGTCTATCAGTTTGTCATACTGTGGTGGCTTGTGTGTTGCTATGAGGCTAGAGGCAATGCCATCAGTATTTCAAATACCAGCAGGGTCACCCACAGTGAACAGGTTTCAGCAGAGCTTCCAGACAAAGACAGACTCAGAAGAAGGAAAGGGCCATCCACTTCTCAAAAAACTGGCCAGGAAAAACCTCATGAACAGCAGTGAAACACTGTCTGCTAATTACTGGGAACCTTTATGAATAGCCCTGAAACACTGTCTGATATAGTACCAGAAGAGCCCCTTAGGTCGGAAGGCACTTAAAATACAAATGGGGAAGAGCTGCCTC